ATCGGCGATTACTGCGCCACGTGCTGCGGCTGCGCCACGTCTACTGCGCCACACGAATAAGCTAATTGGTTACAATACTTAGAAAGATATAACTGTATATATAATAAATATAATTATATAAGTAATAAATAATAATTAAATAAAATAATATAATAAGTAAAAATTTTAATTATAATAATATTAAATATAATTAATATTAAATAATATTAAAGTATTTAATAAATTTTTTATATATATTTATTTTATAATTTTTAAATTTTTTAAATTTTTTTCAAAATATATTAGCAATAATTAAAAATATTTATTAATTAATAATTATTATTATATATTAATAATTATTAATTTTCTTATATTAAAAAAGAATTAGAAGTTATGAAACTTTTTTTCTTTTTGATAATATAAAATTATATAACTTATATATAAATTATATAATTCTTTTCTAATATATATTAAACTTATTAATATATATTTTTTAGAAATTCTTTTTTTATTAATTTTTTAAATTCTTTATATAAATATTTACAAGAAAATATCTATCAAATTATTTAATAAAAAAAAGCTGATTTAAGTTAATCACAAAATAAATAAATAATTAAAAATTCTTCAAACTTAATTTTTAATAAGTAAAAATTTATTTTTAAATAAAAATTTATTTAATAATATATTTAATAATATATTTTTTTATGCTAACAGTAATTGAACTAATAAAGCATACTATTCAATTTGGAATTTTATTCTTATTAACACTCCAAATTATTAGATTTATCAGTGATTCTCATTGTTAATTATCTTATTGCAAACAAATTTATTATTATTAAATTTCAAGATTTTTTATCATGAGAAGGATCTTTTTGAATTGATACTAACCCATTTAAAAAAATTACGTAAGAAGGACATTTGATAGAAATACATAATTTATAAATATTTTGTTGATTAAAAATAATATCTGTTCATTCATTCAATTACCTAGATAGCATTTTCTCAACTTGTTATCTATTATTTTATTATTTCTTGACAGACTCCAGTAGGCTATGCCTCATTACTGAATATATCTTAGAGCAGACATCGATACATAGTTCGACAGCCTAGCATATAAAGTAAAATAATTTTTTATCACGTATTATATTAAACTTGAAAAATAAATAAAATTTACCTGAGAAGTAACGGCAACATCAACCTCTCCAGATTGTATTATATGCGTGATTTCGTTCAGTGAAGGCATATAAGAAAGTATAATCGATCCAGACTCGCGTTGTTCTTCAAAAAAATCGCCGTCAATAAATATCTCGTCATTTATATACGACTAGTGAGAACAATTAAAGATGAATACTAGTCTAGATAGTAATATTTATAATGCCAGCGTTACATTGATAGTTATTTTACCGCTGCACACGCTGCCACTTGATCCACCATCTCTATTCCTGCATCAGTGAGCGCCATTGAGGCACAAGTAATAGCAGCAGCAAGACACGACGCTGTCCCATCGTTTTGTATCACTGATACATAGACGTCGATTGTGGATTTTGGCAAGAGGTCAAGTCGTAGTGAGGGTGCTAAGGCTTCATACAAAAGTTGAGAAAATTCTTTTTCTTGTGGATCCTTTTTAATTATCATTAATCATTATCAGTGAATTTATAGAATTGGCGCTGATTTATGATGTTAAAATCTTTTGATTGTCTTACGCGCTTACTCGATGATTAGATCGTCGTTTAGCACACGAAAACGACGCAAACTTGAAATCACAATTTAAATTTCCTTTTCCACTAAATGCTGGTAATTTTGTTTGGCGGGGGCCATAACTATATAATATAAAAGCACATGGATATGTACAAAATATGCGAAAACGAAGAAGAAATTGACTAATTAGATCATACATGGCACAAGCTATCTTAGTTTCACATAGTTCTATGTACGCCGAACCATTTGCTTGCGTTATAAGACCAGTTTTCAGGACTAATAAAAAATAAAAAGCTTAATATTAATGTTCTTGTATGTATAACCCTCTTTAATTCGAATGCGTGAAAAATACATATTGGCCGGATATCTTCCGCTTTTCTTCCGTCGTGTCTTTTGTCGTCCTTGTCGAGAACAGGTATTTCTTTGGCACCTTCTGACCTTCCTATAATAGGGGAGACACTAGTCTCGGGACCTGGAATGCGTCTTCTATCCATTCTTAAAGAAAATCAATAATATCGGTATCACTATTTTTAAATATCAGCTGTTGCACCAACATCTAAATGATTGATTGATTTGATTGGATATATATATCTATTTCAACGAGCACCAAAGTGATGCTGGGATCACTTCTATTTTCTATCAATGCAATTTTTTCTTTCAATTCTTCTAGGCTAGGTATCATGGGTTATTATCTATACATTAAAAATCATCATAGTTCGCAAGTAAGTCACTTATGTATGCTGCAATCAACAATAGCTAATTGCACGAAATGTATAATAAAAAATGCAGATTACGCAACTCGTTGTTTACAAGAAACATCGTCATTACGAAATTTGAGAGCATCTTTGTCATATTGCACTTGAATTAGGCTGCAAATTGTTTGCTGTTGGCATGGTGACAGTCAGTAAATCCGTATTTAGTGCGTGTAATGGAAAGATCATTTTCTTTCGTTAGTTGTGATCCTGTAAAGATGCGAGTGATCTTATTTCCGCGAGCAGAATTCCGTATTTACAAAAATTATTAGCGTATCGATAAGAATACGTCGATTATTCATACTGATGGTTATAATTAATGATATTCTTATTCATAATTATAAATAACGCGTATATATTTCTAAATATACTTGTTTCAAAAAATGATTGGTCACACTGAAGTCAATGCCATTTTGCGTGTAGAACCAAATTGGAGTTTTTCGCGTTCACTTTCGGTGAAGATATTAATAATACTACTAAACTAATAAAAGCTGAACGTTGAAAAAAACGATGTGTGTGTTGTACGTTGTTATCGAGGTACGAAATTCCATTTTGTAAATTCATCTGATTCCGAGTTGATTTATTTCTTCTTTCGTGCTTGCTGCAGAAATAATGTGCAAAAAATAACAGTTTATTTCTGATATAAATTTTAAATATCATTGATTTTAATAAGAGATATATAATCTCCTTATTTCATACCTCCAGTACCTTTACTTCAATATTACATACACAAATCATTAATCAATTAACAACTTCAATTCCCGCGCTCTTTGCTGTTGCTATTACACCCTTGACAATACCCCGTAATGATAAATGCTGCATATTTGCCTGCTGTTGTTTAATTTTTGCAATTTCATAAACGTGTTTAAGTGTAACTTTACCCACAATCTCACTGCCCGGTTTCGAGGCCCCTTTTTCCACGCCAGCCGCACGTTTAAGAAACCACGTAGTCGGCGGATTCTTAATCACAAAACTAAAACTTCTGTCCGAACGTACATCAATAAGTGTTGGAATCGGAACTTCGGGCAATATTTTTTTTGTGCGGTCATTGAACTGTTTGCAAAAGTCTATTGCCTTGACACCTCGTTGTCCGAGTGCGGGACCTAGTGGTGGTGTAGGCGTCGCTTTTCCCGCCGGTATAAGTATTCTTATTGTGGTTGCTGCGCTAGAAAGGGCTCCTGACCGTGAAGACATTGACGCGAGAATATCTAGAAAAATTTGCCATTTGGGTGACGATCTATCTGTATTTAGATAGAACGCGTTTTATCAAAATCTAAAAAAGACCAAATTTAATTTTTCTTCTTTATAAAATAAAATGGATTTTTCAACTCTTAATGACGCTGAACGTGCGCATGTACAAAAATTGATTGAACAAAAACAGGTGATTGTACAATTTTAAAATTTTCACTGAAATGTGCTTGAAAATTGTTCTTTATTAAAATTTATCGTTTTTACAAAGATGCGTGATTTTATGAAATTCTATACTGGTCTCGTGGAGCGTTGCTTTAACGACTGCGTTAATGATTTTACTTCGAAAGCATTGACTACAAAAGAAGTAAATAGAAAAACATTTTCAACAGATTAAAGCGTTTTTAAATCAATAAGCATTACCAGAAGGTAGAGTAACCAACCAAATCATTTGATGTTCTTTTGTTACATATAGGAAACATGTGTTCTTCGATGTACCGATAAGTTCATAAAGTACAATGAACGGATCAGTCTAAGATTTGGCGAACTTAATCAAGAGTTTATGCAACAACAGGCTGCTGCTGCAGCGCAACAACAGCCAGGAATGAATCCATAGCTGTTTTCGTTGGTCACAAATATAAATTGAACCCCAGTACTCCTCATGTAAGGTACCTCGATCATGAGAAATTTGTAAAATATGCGGAGTACTATAAACTGCGCTTCATAGCACTTTATAATTCAATAATCTTTTATTTCGTCAGCTTTTGCATCGGGATTCTTTTTCCGCGGGTGAAAAATATATCACGGAAGATCCATATCATTTCCTATAATAAGTATTCCATGCGTTTGAAATCAAAGATTTTTATTGAATTTATAGACAAAGAAAGACAAGACATTTTGTCCATATTTATGGCAGGGTGCTTTTCACAAAATGATATTTGATGCACTATTTTTACATCTACCTTCCATTTGCAACATGTCCAGAGGTGTGGTACCGCTAGTTTATATTGCAGACGAATGGTCAGGACTTCGGGGGATCTATAGGAACTATACGTCTCCTAAATCTAGCAGAGCAAATTAAATTGAATAATATTTATTAATTTGCATGTATATATATATTTTTTTTTCATTTCAGATTTTGTATGTTATATTTAAACGTTTGATAACAGTTTGGATCACCATCTATATCCATGATCTAGAAAAGAAGAGAGTTGTTGTCGACTGCGATTGGAGAAATTATTATTATTATTATTATTATTACTATTATTATTATTATTATTATTGTTATTATTATTATTATTATTATTATTATTAATGTTATTATTATTACTATTATTGTTGTTGTTATTGTTGATGTGGTTTGTATTAATTGCTGCAGGTCTGTTCGTAGGGGAGGGAGCAATAGGTATATAATGTCGTGGTGAAGAAATGTGCGAAACATTTTGCTGCGGTAATGATGATGGTAGAGACGGTGATCCCATGTTCGAGTTAGTTGTAGGGGATCGTGCAATAATCGCAGGATTATCATATAGATAATATTGATTAGCTTGATATGGAAGATGATAACTAGGAAACGATGAATGACGACGGTGATGATGTAATCCAGTAGGCGATCCAATTGAGAGAGAATTCTCAGATGATCTATCCATAATTGACGATAACGAATTCTCAGTGAGTTCAAGTAGATTTTGAATACTTGGCAAGTGAATCTGAGACTTTTCTGAATTTCGATTTTGCGTATCACTTGATGATGAAATTGGTGGCTGTTGTGGAGGTGGTAATCCAACAGATAAATTTTCAGGACTGTTTGAAATTGATCGATAGTCAGAAATAGTGTTGTTCTTAGCTGACTTAAATAATAAATTCTGTTGATTTTTATGTTGATATTGATTATTGGATTCATTATCTGATGTTGAAGTGTTTGACAACATCGAAATAGATAATTGGCGAGGCGAGTAAGATGATATAGACGGTGGCGAGGATGTCGTATGAATGGAACTTTGTAAAGAGGATACTGGAATTAACTCAGTATTCTGTATTATTATTGGTTCCTCGTTGGAATGAAATGGTGAGACTCTTGATGTCGTTAATAATGGGAAACTTGATGCGATCTCATATGAATTTATATAATCAGAGCTTGACGACGGATTCACTTTTTGTACCTTTGAAGCTTTCTCTATCAAGGATTTTTGTGATGCGCGTTTCCGTGAATTCATCAAAATTTCCTCAGCATTTGTTTCAGAGGCTTCCTTGATATTATCAAGTTTTCTGAGAGATTCAACAATCTTCTTCTCGTCCTCCGTTGCTAATTTTTCCCCATGTAAAGATACATGATTATGGTTATTTGAAGTGGTTGTGGTGGTAGTTACTGACGCCAATCCAGGACTTTGTGCAAGTAGTTCATCATTGGCGATTGTAGTGGTATTTATTTTTGTTTCAGCCATTGGTAGAAAGGTTGGAGGGCTGAAGGTGACAGTTGACTCAATTGGAGTACTTGATAAAAATATATTATTACTTTGAGTATCATCTTTAATATTGGCACTTGAAGAATCATTCATTTCGGTATTTTGTGCAACTAGCAACTTCAAACAATAATAAATATTAAGTTATTATTATCAACACGCAATAAAAATTTAGATGTCATAAAAATATTGGTCAATACTTTTTTCGTTAAATCTTCAATTATATTTCGTCGTTCAATTATTCCCTTCTCATCTGTAACAACATATTTTTGCCATGCTGCTAGTATTTCGTTGATTCTGTTTGCTATCAATATTTTGGTATGGTGCTTTGCGATGGCCAAAGTTTTAAAGTCTTGATCTATTGATTTGTCAAACTGCCGAATCCCAATATGAATACAAGCGTGTCCATGCAAACATGTAAGTTAACCATTTCTGCACGCGCATCCAAAAAATAAATTAGCTAATTCTTTATTTACCTGAAGTACACTTTTTTTCAGAAACCTCATGAGAAATGATTCATATTCCGAATCAACAAATATTCGTTGTCCTTTTCTGTTTTCACAGTCCAATACTTGTGCTGCGTTGGCTTCTTTGGTTTCTTGGAGGATCACCTAGATGATATGATTATATCCGAGATAATTAATGAGCTCTTTCAAGAATATTATCGATAAATTAAAAGAAAAATTACCATCATTGCATTAGCAAGTTGCTGTATAATTTTGGGACATATATATAATCGTTTTTGGATATTAAATGCCAATTTATTGTAATTAATATTAGTAACTTCCTTTATCTTTTCTTTTGTAATTTGAGATTTTGTGTTCGTTTGAGTTGCCGCTGCTGGAAACGGTGGTGATAACTGTCCCAGTGAATTATTATTATTATTATTATTATTATTATTATTATTATTATTATTATTATTATTATTATTATTATTATTATTATT